GTACCTTTATACTAATACTTGATTAGAACGAATTAATAAACAGTCCTTTAAAACCTAACCTTTACGAGATAAAACGAGCGTAAGATGCATCTTGTTTACCGTCAAGTGTGTATAACCAAATTATCTTTGATTTATTATTGATAAAGTCATGATGAGCACATTAAAGGTTCTGCAATCTTTTCATCTTCACACATTAAAATTTCTTCTAATACACCATCACTTTTTTACATTAATTTTACGTTACTCTATCTTCTCTGATTAGTTGTATTGTAATGTCCCTCCTCTACTCAAGGAGGATTCGAATAATCTTTCAACCCGATGGGGGCGAGATTGGCAAATCCATCTCTCTCTAAAGGGCGTGGAGGTATTATCATTTTCATCTTACAAATGTTTCAGCCATATGGAATAGATTTGTATCTGTTGTAGTTATGTTCAGATATATAAAAGGTAGTTTACTATCAGATGACAAACTATAACTAAGACTAAAGTCTATAATGTATTTACTTAAAAATGTACACTGATAGTAAGTCTGTTAAATAATGCTACAATTGGTACCAACTTTGTGTGGGTTATTCTTGAAATGTTATTTTATTTATTCTGCCTGTTAATATTTGTGTATGAAAGAGCGCGTGATGTGAGCTTGCTGCCTAGATGTGGTAGATGTTCGGATTGATGGGATGTACGTCGTTGTTCCGGTTACTACTCGAAGATCTACAGATAAACCACCTATTCTGTTACTATATTTAAACCTTCATTATCAACGTGTGACTCACGTACAATAGTGTTATTCAACTTTATAGTTTATTTTAGACTCTCTGACGTCACAGTCGCTGTTCCTATTTTTAGGTATTATGTAAGAGAGATATGGTAATTCTACCTTGCATACCATGGTCTCCATTAGTAATTGGCAGGAGTTGCTGTTGCTTAGTACCTCCCTACATTCACATTGTAAGATGTTTATAAGGGGAACTAATCATTTTTATCCTAATGTTAAAAATTATGAAATTAATTGAATTAGTTAATAAGTGATTTTTTTATTTTATTTATAGATAACTTTGATAAATAAAATAAGGTAAGTTATCTTGCCATACTAACCCATTAAAAAGGGGGCATGATATAATGTATCGACAGACCATGAACAGTTAAAGCTGTTACACGATAGCTGACATAACTGCCGCGCATCATGTACCCACCCCCAACTCCACCTAACGCAAGCCAACTTGACATCCATTAAATGAGCAATGGCAATCATGTATTTCAGAAAACTAGTAAGGTTATCTTGCCACACCCACCCATTCTACAATGACCATGTAAAAGAGAGAGAAAGAATAAAATATTGAGAAATGCAACAACAAAACCCCACTATCTTACTAAATGTAAGCCGAGAACATCCACGTGTTTTTATCAATATTCAATTCGATGAAGTAACATTAGGATAAAAAGAAATCCGGATCCGTCCCTGGTTCCTACATTACTTTGTAGGTGTACGGTGTATCAGCCGGGCCTATATTTGATAGTGTAATTAGTCTAAGTGTTTATCGAGTCATACGTTAAAACTATCAGTTCCTCGTCTCGTTTACTGACAGACGCCTCTCAAACATTATCAGAAGTATCAAATTCTAATATTTTTGTCGTCTGTGATCTCCATGTCGTAATTATGGTGTCCCAGCTGTTCCGACCTGTCGGGCTGTGTCGTGTAGCGAGATGGACACGTACGTCTCTAACGATGACAGGATAAAAATAGATCCATATCCGGAAAATTCTTTATAGACTTTGAAAGCTCGCCAAAGGGGATCGTGAGTCTCCCAGAGAGAGGAGGTGGATCGTGTGTCTCCCAGAGACAGGAGGTGGATCTTTCAAACAGACCGCGACATTCATTGCATGCGTGTGTTTGTTTTTTTCGGTTCAGTATGTTTTCCATTTATTTATTATATTTTGTATGATGGTTATACTCATCACCTAATTGCCTACATGCAGTGTTTGCATCATTACAATTCAACCGCCACTGAAGGGTTATTCCGGGATTTAGCAATCGTGGTTCCTCACGACCCGGCATATTATCCCATGATCTGGCCTATTGTCCCGAGGCCTGGTCTATTGCCCCAAGATCTGGCCTATTGCCCCACGGCCTGGCCTATTGCCCCACGATCTGGCCTATTGCCCCAGGATCTGGCCTATTGCCCCAGGATCTGGCCTATTGCCACACGGCCTGACCTATTGCCCCACAGCCTGGCCTATTGCCCCACGATCTGGCTTATTACCCAACGATCTGGCCTATTGCCCCACGATTTTGCCTATTGACCCACGACCTGGCTTATTGCCCCACGACCTGGCCTATTGCCTTACGACCTGGCATATTGTCCCACGATCTGGCCTATTGCCCCACGATCTGGCCTATTGCCCCACGATTTTGCCTATTTCCCCACGACCTGGCTTATTTTTTTGTCTTTGACATTTTTTTATTGCGTCAGTCACATAAGTGCATTACATGTTTTTCAAAGGTTACTGGAGAAGAAATACAATATAAACGAGTAGTTAAGTACTAGTAGTTCATTCTAGAATAAGCTTGATACTTTCCCATTTTTGCCGGGTCTTGTTCGCTGAATTTTGAGACATCATGTAGACAGAATATAGGTCTAAATTTCTATAACTTTTTTATAAATATTTTACAACTTTCCCAGTCAGGAATTTTGTGGAATTGTCGCATTAAAGATATAAAAAAAATAAACAGTTGTATGCATATGTTTAAACCCGTCAGTTGAACATTGTCAATGATGCAGAATAGGAAAGTAGCAGGTTTTTTCTCTAAAACAATATCATATTTTTGTAAAACCGAGTTAATAAAACATGTCCAGAGCGATTGACTATGTGTGCAACCCCAAAAAAGGTGATATATTGTTTCTGATTCTCCACTACAAAAGCTGCATTCTTCATGTTCTAATAGTTTTTGCTTTAGTAGCATGGAATTTGTGAAAAAGATTCTGTGAATGATTCTGTATTGTAAACTTTGTAATTTCGAGTCTTTTGTCTCGTAAAAGGGACATGAATGAATTTTTCCCCATTCGTCTTGGTTCAGAGAAATATATAACATAGTGAGCCACCTTTCATGGGATTGTTGCGGATAAATCAATACAGTAGACATGATTTTATTATAAAAAATATTTAGACGGTTTTTCAATACGACCTGGCTTATTGCCTTACGACCTGACCTATTGCCTTACGACCTGGCCTATTGCACCACGATCTGGCCTATTGTCCCACGATCTGGCCTATTGCCTAACGATCTGGTCTATTGTCCCACGATCTGGCCTATTGTCCAACGATCTGGCCTATTGTTCCACGATATGGCCTATTCTTTTTTCCCCACGATCTGGCCTATTGCCCCACGATCTGGCCTATTGTTCCATGATCTTGCCTATTGCCCCACGATCTGGCCTATTGCCCCACGATCTGGCCAATGGCACGATGGGTTGTTGAGCGCTTGTTTAATACTAGTCCGGACAGCACAAAGTCTTAGATTTACTCGAGCTCTATGTACCATTAGGCATTATTAAGGTTCCGATGTTTGATCCGAAATTCCTGATCACCTTAAACTAAATTGACGAACATGTGAGGCTTGCTCGGACCTGTACACTGTGTGGATGCATAATCAACATCTACACTCAATTATTAATTACGGAGACAGCATCATATCTCCTACAGGTAAACGGAAGGCAGTCTCCCGTGTAATCGATAGCGGTTTACATCAACATTTATATAGTGACTGTCAACACGTCACAGTTGTATTCATGGAAGTTAAGACTGTCAACACGTCAAAGTTGTATTCATGAAAGCAGTAACTCCTTGCATTTATGGAAGTATAGACTGGAAAAATATTACAATGTTGTTCATGGAAGTTATGACTAACAGAACGTCATAAACGTATTCACGAATTGTAATCGGTCTACAAAAGTGATTTGTAAAAACATCATTGATGATCAAAGGCCGTTCCTGGCCATTAACAAGCAATGCTGATGTGGCGTTACCGACGCTAAAATCTGCCATCCACGAACATTCACGCGCAGTACTGGTAACACAGTGCGCATGTCATCATTCATCAGGAATACTGTCAATAAGTGATCGTGCGGTTAGACTTTGACAAGTTTTTATTTATGTAGCATGTTAAATGCACACTTAGTTTTGAGAACGTGTTCCTGAAAAAGTAGTCAGTCAACGATACTTTACTGGAGTAGAGGTTTTCATTATTAACAAACAGGTAAGTGGTTTTAACAAGAAGTGATGTCATTTACAGATAAACTGGCGTGTGCTAAAAGTGTGTGATTTCTACCAATCACGAACATTACAATCCAACAAAGAGTTATTATTACCTACTTATCATATGATGCATCGATAATGAGCAAGCATTTATTAAGGAACATGAGTGTATGTCTCAGGAGCGTCTACGCGTCTGTACGGCGGGTAGCGTCTATATGTCTGTATGGCGAGGAACGTCTACACATATGTACGACGAGTAGCGTCTACACATCTGTATGGCAAGTAGCGTCTACACATCTGTACGACGAGTAGCGTCTACACATCTGTGCGACGAGTAGCGACTACACGTCGGTAGTTATACTAGGTACACGTGTAACCGGTGTGGGACTCTTACCTATAGCTTAGTTATATTAACCAGGTAATGAGATTTGTTTACGATCGAATATCACAAGCTGTGTATTCATTTTACAGATTCTTAAATGATCTCTTTATCAGAAGAAACGGATACCTTTGAAAACACAACACTATGAGATCTAGTCAATAAGACTTATTATTCAGAGTCTCCATTGTATCTCCTTCTGATGTTTAGTTATGAAACCAAAGATATGTCACTGGGTAGTAACTGGTGAGGGACACTTGCTTACCTCACAGTTATAGACACTAGGTAGTAACTGGTGAGGGACACTTACTTACCTCACAGTTATAGACACTAGGTAGTGACTGGTGAGGGACACTTACTTACCTCACAGTTATAGACACTAGGTAGTGACCGGTGAGGGACCGGTAATAGACACTAGGTAGTGACTGGTGAGGGACACTTACTAACCGTACAGATATAGACACTAGGTAATGACTGGTGAGGGACACTTACTTATCTCACAGGAATAGACACTAAGTAGTGACCGGTGAAGGACACTTACTTATCTCACAGTAATAGACACTAGGTAGTGACTGGTGAGGGACACTTACTTACCGCACAGTTATAGACACTAGGTAGTAACTGGTGAGGGACACTTGCTTACCTCACAGTTATAGACACTAGGTAGTAACTGGTGAGGGACACTTACTTACCTCACAGTTATAGACACTAGGTAGTGACTGGTGAGGGACACTTACTTACCTCACAGTTATAGACACTAGGTAGTGACCGGTGAAGGACACTTACTTATCTCACAGTTATAGACACTAGGTAGTGACCGGTGAGGGACCGGTAATAGACACTAGGTAGTGACTGGTGAGGGACACTTACTAACCGTACAGATATAGACACTAGGTAATGACTGGTGAGGGACACTTACTTATCTCACAGTAATAGACACTAGGTAGTGACCGGTGAAGGACACTTACTTATCTCACAGTAATAGACACTAGGTAGTGACTGGTGAGGGACACTTACTTACCACACAGTTATAGACACTAGGTAGTAACTGGTGAGGGACACTTGCTTACCTCACAGTTATAGACACTAGGTAGTAACTGGTGAGGGACACTTACTTACCTCACAGTTATAGACACTAGGTAGTGACTGGTGAGGGACACTTACTTACCTCACAGTTATAGACACTAGGTAGTGACCGGTGAAGGACACTTACTTATCTCACAGTTATAGACACTAGGTAGTGACCGGTGAGGGACCGGTAATAGACACTAGGTAGTGACTGGTGAGGGACACTTACTAACCGTACAGATATAGACACTAGGTAATGACTGGTGAGGGACACTTACTTATCTCACAGTAATAGACACTAGGTAGTGACTGGTGAGGGACACTTACTTACCACACAGTTATAGACACTAGGTAGTAACTGGTGAGGGACACTTGCTTACCTCACAGTTATAGACACTAGGTAGTAACTGGTGAGGGACACTTACTTACCTCACAGTTATAGACACTAGGTAGTGACTGGTGAGGGACACTTACTTACCTCACAGTTATAGACACTAGGTAGTGACCGGTGAGGGACACTTACTTACCTCACAGTTATAGACACTAGGTAGTGACTGGTGAGGGACACTTACTTACCTCACAGTTATAGACACTAGGTAGTGACCGGTGAGGGACACTTACTTACCTCACAGTTATAGACACTAGGTAGTGACTGGTGAGGGACACTTACTTACCTCACAGTTATAGACACTAGGTAGTGACCGGTGAGGGACACTTACTTACCTCACAGTTATAGACACTAGGTAGTGACTGGTGAGGGACACTTACTTACCTCACAGTTATAGACACTAGGTAGTGACCGGTGAGGGACACTTACTTACCACACAGTTATAGATACTAGGTAGTAACTGGTGAGGGACACTTACTTACCTCACAGTTATAGACACTAGGTAGTGACTGGTGAGGGACACTTACTTACCACACAGTTATAGATACTAGGTAGTGACTGGTGAGGGACACTTACTTACCTCACAGTTATAGACACTAGGTAGTGACTGGTGAGGGACACTTACTTACCACACAGTTATAGATACTAGGTAGTAACTGGTGAGGGACACTTACTTACCTCACAGTTATAGACACTAGGTAGTGACTGGTGAGGGACACTTACTTACCACACAGTTATAGATACTAGGTAGTAACTGGTGAGGGACACTTACTTACCTCACAGTTATAGACACTAGGTAGTGACTGGTGAGGGACACTTACTTACCACACAGTTATAGATACTAGGTAGTAACTGGTGAGGGACACTTACTTACCTCACAGTTATAGACACTAGGTAGTGACTGGTGAGGGACACTTACTTACCACACAGTTATAGATACTAGGTAGTAACTGGTGAGGGACACTTACTTACCTCACAGTTATAGACACTAGGTAGTGACTGGTGAGGGACACTTACTTACCACACAGTTATAGATACTAGGTAGTAACTGGTGAGGGACACTTACTTACCTCACAGTTATAGACACTAGGTAGTGACTGGTGAGGGACACTTACTTACCACACAGTTATAGATACTAGGTAGTAACTGGTGAGGGACACTTACTTACCGCACAGTAATAGACACTAGGTAGTGACTGGTGAGGGACACTTACTTACCACACAGTTATAGATACTAGGTAGTAACTGGTGAGGGACACTTACTTACCGCACAGTAATAGACACTAGGTAGTGACTGGTGAGGGACACTTACTTACCACACAGTTATAGATACTAGGTAGTAACTGGTGAGGGACACTTACTTACCGCACAGTAATAGACACTAGGTAGTGACTGGTGAGGGACACTTACTTACCACACAGTTATAGATACTAGGTAGTAACTGGTGAGGGACACTTACTTACCGCACAGTAATAGACACTAGGTAGTGACTGGTGAGGGACACTTACTTACCACACAGTTATAGATACTAGGTAGTAACTGGTGAGGGACACTTACTTACCGCACAGTAATAGACACTAGGTAGTGACCGGTGAGGGACACTTACTTACCTCACAGTTATAGATACTAGGTAGTAACTGGTGAGGGACACTTACTTACCTCACAGTTATAGACACTAGGTAGTGACCGGTGAGGGACACTTACTTACCACACAGTTATAGACACTAGGTAGTGACTGGTGAGGGACACTTGCTTACCTCACAGTTATAGACACTAGGTAGTGACCGGTGAGGGACACTTACTTACCACACAGTTATAGACACTAGGTAGTAACTGGTGAGGGACACTTACTTACCTCACAGTTATAGACACTAGGTAGTGACTGGTGAGGGACACTTACTTATCTCACAGTAATAGACACTTGGTATTGACCGGTGTCGGACGCTTAATTACCGCTATGTTGTGTACACAGTCTATTCCATATCCCTGCTTGTTCCCAGTTTTTTTTATACATGTGACCTTTACGAACGCAGGCTGTATCCTGGTGTACTGTAAATGGCAACAGTATTACAAGTAGTTTAAAACTGTCGGAACCATGTCCAGAACACTAGTACAATTAATAGCAACACTTGTTACACCTGTTGAATAACCTTCATTAGTCACAATCACAGTTGAAATCCAGGATAAGGATACAACTGTAACACCCAGTATTGTACACTAGTGGGAGACAGTTTACACTAATGATATATAGTTTACACTAGTGGGAGACAGCTTACACTAGTGGGAGACAGTTTACACTAGTGGGAGACAGCTTACACCAGTGGGAGACAGTTTATACTAGTGATATATAGTTTACACTAGTGATATATAGTTTACACTAGTGGGAGACAGTTTACACTACTGATATATAGTTTACACTAGTGGGAGACAGCTAACACTAGTGGGAGACAGTTTATACTAGTGGGAGACAGCTTACACTAGTGGGAGACAGTTTACACTAGTGGGAGACAGCTTACATTAGTGGGAGACAGTTTACACTAGTGGGAGACAGCTTACACCAGTGGGAGACAGTTTACACTAGTGGGAGACAGCTTACACTAGTGATATATAGTTTACACTAGTGGATGACTGTTTACACCAGTGGTAGACAGTTTACACTAGTGATATATAGTTTAAACTAGTGGATGACTGTTTACACTAGTGGGTGACAGTTTACACTAGTGGGAGACAGCTTACACTAGTGGGAGACAGTTTACACTATTGGGAGACAGCTTACACTAGTGGGAGACAGCTTACACTAGTGGGTGACAGTTTACACTAGTGGGAGACAGTTTACAATAGTGGTAGACAGTTTACACTGGTGGTAGACTGTTTACACTAGTGGTAGACAGTTTACACTAGTGGAAGAGAGTTTACACTAGTGGGTGACAGCTTACCCCAGTGGTAGACAGTTTACACTAGTGATATATAGTTTACACTAGTGGGTGACAGATTACACCAGTGGGAGACAGTTTACACTAGTGATATCTAGTTTACACTAGTGGGTGACAGCTTACACCAGTGGTAGACAGTTAACACTAGTGGTAGACAGTTTACACTAGTGGTAGAGAGTTTACACTAGTGGGAGACAGCTTACACTAGTGGGAGACAGTTTACACTAGTGATAT